CCATGCCCAGCTGATTTTTTGTATTTTTAGTAGAGACGGGGTTTCACCATGTTGACCAGGATGGTCTCGATCTCTTGACCTCGTGATCCACCCGCCTCGGCCTCCCAAAGTACTGGGATTACAGGCGTGAGCCACCGCGCCCAGCCTCTAATTTTTTTTTTTTTTGAGATGGAGTCTCACACCGTTGCCCTGGCTGGAGTGTAGTTGCGTGATCTCAGCTCACTGCAACCTCTGCCTCCTGGGATCAAGTGATTCTACTGCCTCAGCCCCCTGAGTAGCTGGGATTACAGGTATGTGCCACCACACCCAGCTAATTTTTTATTATTTTTAGTAGAGATGGGGTTTCACCATATTGGCCAGGCTGGTCTCGAACTCCTGACCTTGTGATCTGCCCGTCTCAGCCTCCCAAAGTGCTGGGATTACAGGCATGAGCCATCGTGCCCAGCTGCCCAGCTAATTTTTATATTTTTTGTAGAGATGGGGTTTTGCTATGTTGCCAAGGCTAGTCTCAAACTCCTGGGCTAAGTGTTTCTCCTACCTCAGCCTTCCAGAATGCAGGGACTACAGGCGTGAGCCACTGTGCCAAGCCATGTTAGTCTTCAGTACGCCTTCTGTCGTTGCTGACAGCCCACAGTCTCATGCTCCCTCCAGCCTCTCCAGCCATCCCTTCCTGGTCTCTGGCTGGCTCTGCCTCCTCAGCTCAGTGCCCAGATACCAGCTTTTCCCAAGGGCTCAGCCCCAGGCATTCTCCACCTCCTACTCTCGCTCCTTGGGTGACCTCATCCAGTCCCTGGCTTTAAGAGCCCATCGCGATGCAGATGACCACAGATCCTGCTCTAGCACAGTGCTAACTGGAGCGCCAGACTCATCTCCCACTGCCCCCTTGCTGGGCAGCCCTACCTGGGTGTCTGACAGGCACTGCGAGTTCAGCAGTGGCCGGAATCCTGGACGTCCTCTGGCAGACAGGCCACTCCCATCTCCCTGTCTCAGTGAATGAAACCACATTCACTCAGGTGAAAAGCCCAGGAGAAAGCCTGGATTCCTTTCACCCACTCCGTTTCCAGCCCACCCTCAAGTTTGCCGGCTCTACTGTCCCACCCTCAGTCCGCCCGCTTTGGTCTCTGTTGCTCCCATGAATCCAAACCATCATGGCCTATCCTCCTGTCCCTCCAGCTGCCATGCAGCCAGGGGTCCTTTAGAAGCCTACAATTCCCATCACAGTGGGGCTGGACAGCTCTCTTGGGGACCTTCCCTTTGCACCTGTGACCGTGTCTACCCCTCATAACACCCTGGTTACAGTTCCCTTTCAGTTCCCCCCAAAAGCTAGACTTGTCCTATTTCTGGGCCTCTGCCTGAGCATTCACAGACCCTCAGGCCTCAGCTTTGATAAATGTCAGCAGCAGCCTTCCCGACACCACCTGGATTACAGCAGGTCCCCTGGCTGGCGCCCTCACCTCCCACTGTGCTTCCTTCCCTCCCTCAGTGTGTCTGCCCTGGCCAGCACGTGGCTTCCATCAGGGCAGGGTCTGGCTTCTACACACCACACAGTCCTGGCCCCCGCCAGCCACTGGACCTTAATAAATACTTGAGGACCAAAAGAATGACGCACTAGGTGGGCCCATGAGTGTCGGCACAGTGCTTTCTGAGGTTTCTGAGCTTAAGGCTGGGCAGCAGCTGGCTCTGCTCCCTTGAGATTCCGGTGCCTGCTCTCTTGCCAGGTTTCAGGCACCTGTGGATGAGCAGTCAGAGAGTCTACAAAACACGCAGGATGACAGCAGGAACAGCGTGGCGTTAGCCAGGTAAAGCAAGTCTCTCTAAATGAGAGCGGGCGTGCGACATGGATTCCGAGGCCAACAGGAGGACAAAGGAAACCAGGCTGCTTTTCCCCCTTTGATTCCAGCTCTGGGGCCTCAGCTGGGCATCTTTGTAGAACAAGGGGTCAGAGAGGCTCTCGGCCTGGATGAGTGACTTAAACAAGTGACCTTGTAGATAAAACGGGTGTGACTTTGATAGACGGGACCCCATCTTACCATTATAAATAGCCACGGCTGCTGCTAGTGTCTGCCTTCACCACTGGGACCTGCAGGTACTGACACCAGGGGACTCGGGTCACTGACATGAGAAAGCGACTGAGGACTGTTCCCCAGAGCCACGGTGTGTGCCCCAATACCTGACAGAGGAAGAGAAGGCTGTGCAGTAACACCCACGACACTGTCACAGGCTGATCTTTCTGTATTTTGCTCTCAGGAAAATGTACTCAGTAACAGGGTGGGGGACAGCACTGTGGAATCAGAGAGGCTAGCGGGTATGCTGAGGGTTGCTGAACTGGCCAGAGTCACAGCATGGCTGGTGACAGGGCAGAGTCTGGCCCCAGCCTCCCTGGCACAGCTGTTTTTTTTTTTTCTGCCTCCTGGGTTCAGGCAATTCTCCTACCTCAGGCTCCCGAGTAGTATGGGTGGCATGTGCCACCATACCCGGCTAATTTTTTTATATTTTTAGTAGAGACGGGGTTTCACCATGTTGACCAGGCTGGTCTCGAACTCCTGATCTTGTGATCTGCCCGCCTTGGCCTCACAAAATGCTGGGATTACAGATGTGAGCCACCGTACCTGGCCCGCTGTTTATTTAGCTCAGATGCTTCTGAATTCTGTCACCAGAAACCGCTGACACAGCCTGATGGTTCAGCAACTCACACCCATCCCTGGGGACAGGCTCCTACTCAGTAGTAGACAGGATCCTGAGACAAGCCTTCCTGGTTCTGAAGGCATGCTTACTCACTGGGGCCTTCCAGGAAGACTTTCCATTCTGAGAGCTTTGGCTTGAGAGGATTTTAGTGCAGGGATACAGTGAAATGGGGGAGCGGTGTGGGCTCACATGAGACTGTCCCTTTAGGAATAATCCAGGAAGTGTCCCAGAAAAGAAAGAGAAGACATCAGAGTCTAAAGGAAACACCTGGGCTCTGAACAGCCTCTCGGAAGAGCTTCTACCGAAAAACAAGGACCATCACAGACCCAAACAGAAAAACGGGAGCAATGTCTCCACATGGAGGGAACACCCGACTTAGCAAGTGGGACCGGTCCCCATGGTCAGGCTCTTAGAGCAGGCATCAGACTGGGACACTGGAGAGAAGGTTGTTCCCATGATGGTTATTTTAATTTTTTTGAGATGGAGTTTTACTCTTTGTTGTTGTTGCCCAGGCTGGAGTGCAGTGGTGCAATCTCAGCTCACTGTAACCTCTGCCCCCCGGGTTCAAGTGATTATCCTGCCTCAGCCTCCTGAGTAGTTGGGATTACAGGTGCCCGCCACCACATCCAGCTAATTTTTTGTATTTTTAGTAGAGACAGGGTTTCATCATGTTGGCCAGGCTGGCCTCCAGACCTCAGGTGATCCACCCACCTCAGCGTCTCAAAGTACTAGGATTGCAGGCGTGAGCCACCATGCCTGGCCAACGGTTTTTTGTTTTTGTTTTTTGAGGCAGAGTTTCGCTCTTGGTGCCCAGGCTGGAGTGCAATGGTGCGATCTCAGCTCACCGCAACCTCCACCTCCTGGGAATCTCCTACCTCAGCCTCCAGAGTAGCTGGGATTACAAGTATGTGCCACTACACTCAGCTAATTTTTTGTATTTTTAGGAGAGACGGAGTTTCTCCATGTTGGTCAGGCTGGCCTTGAACTCCCGAACTCAAGCAATCCTCCTACCTCAGCTTCCCAAAGTGCTGAGGTTACAGGCATGAGGCAGTCCCCAGCCGGTTATTTCTTGAAAAGGTAATCACTTTAGCTGGGCATGGTGGCGCGTGCCTGTAATCCCAGCTACTCAGGAGGCTGAGGCAGGAGAATTGCCTGAACCCAGGAGGCGGAGGTTGCGGTGAGCCGAGATCGCGCCATTGCGCTCCAGCCTGGGTAACATGAGTGAAACTCTGTCTCAAAAAAAAAAAAAAAAAGAAAAGGTAATCACTTGTCAATCGTGAACCTGGCAGCTCCAACAGGTCATAATTTCAGATTCTTTGGCTTGGGCTGTTTTGCTTTTGCCCGTGTTTGTATGGCACGAAGTCTTCGTCCTTGTCACAGTGGCTTGTGATGACTCCCAGTCCCCATGGAAAACATTCAGGGAGTGGCCATCCAGGAAGAAACCCCTCACCCGTTCCACTCCTATGCACCGAGTGTCCGTGTGCCACGCCCTGTGCTGGGGCAGGGCGTGCTCCATCAGGCTGTGCCAGTTTGAGTTGCAGGTAACAAGACTCCACTGCTGAGTAGCATCTGCCCTATCACAAAGGAATCCAGTTTCTCCGGAATTACAGTCCCACTGTTAACTTGGTGCCACTGGAAAGTCCCACCCAGTAATCTGAGCAGTGACTCACGGAAGGACGAGGAACCCTTGTTCCAGCTTCTCTCCCTTTCCAGCAAGTGCAGAGCTCCTGCAGCCAGAGGTTAGCACCTGGCCAGCTTACGTGGCAGATGGTCTCGGTTACAACTCGCTGCTTTCCCAAACTACCGCACCCCTCCTGCATCTGCCTTCCATTGATAGCGACGCCCTGGGCAGCAGCAACGTTTCTTCTAGTAGCTTTTTCTGAGCAGTTTTCCTTTTCTCTGGAGTACCCTTTTCATTTAGAGGAGTTTAATAAATGCTTTTAAAAATTAACCCACATGACCTAAAATTGTAAAAGTTTTTGATGCCCAGACAAGTCACATTTAAGCAAATTTTCAGCTGATTCAGTGGTTAACAGCAAATGGGTCTACGTGCTAACACAGACCAGCACGTTCAACACATAAACACATCACTCACATCGATGTCCACTTCCCCTACATCTGCTACTTCAGAGCACTGAGGTTCCCGTTCCAAGGCCTTAGAGACCTCTGTGGTGGCCTGCAGGGCAAAAGGAATTATCGTTACAACTGGTTAGGGATAGAAACCCAGAAGGAAATTGAGGGGGCAAAACACACGTGGTTTGAGGCTGAAGGCTTGAGACTTTTCTTCCCCAGGAGTGACATGACCTCAGAGTTTCTACATCCCATACAATCACACCACGGCTCAGAGTGTAATCAAGTGCAGTTTTATTTATTTAAGAACTGGAAAGAATAATCAGTATCTGTGAAAGAAAATCCAATTTAGAATATTTAAATAAACATTTCTGTATGTAAAAAGAGTAGAATAATTACTCCATTAAGTTCCTCTCCTTGCAATGGGACAGACCGCCTCTACTGCAGATGGCCGGGTCTTCCAAACCCATGGCAGGTGCCACATCTTCTGCAGCAGGCGCCCAGAGAATAAGCACTTCCCACCACGACAGAGAGGTCAAGGTCTTCTAACCTTGCCAAACCACTACAAAAGCAAACTATGGTGGGCAAGCCCAACTACCTAAGGCAGGAAGAAAGTGCAGCGAAGGGACAGTGGTGTGCTGTGCCTATCGTGAGCGGACTGCTGGCAGCCAGCTGTGGCCGAGATCTTACTAAGCCTAATCGGTTAATGCAACTTCCTGGTTCAGGAACGTTTTCCCTGTCAAAACAACCCCTCAGATTGGTATATAAACAGAAGGGAGCCTACTTTTTAGGCTTAAGGAGCAGCTCGCACCAGCAAAGGGGTGGCAGGTGGGCCACTACCTCGTTTTCTGTCCTGCTAAGAGGCTCACCCCGTGACCTCTTCTGTAAACTGCCACTCAGCAGTAGCCTGCAAGCCCTCACGAAAGGCTTCACTTTATGCTGTTTCCAAGTAGCTTTGTTCTGGGCAGTACCTATTTTCCATTTAAGAATCTCCACTTTAAAACCTGCAATGGAAAAATAAATCTCTTGACAGCTTTTTAAATGAGAAAATTGGTGATGTGGCCTTGGCAGCAAATACCCAGAAAAGCCTTTACCTCATTAACCTGATTCTCTGCCGCAGGCCCCACCACTGCTGAATTTATAAAGCTAAAAATAATCTCCAGATCATGGAACTAAAAAGAAGTCAATCACTTGCCAAATCCTGCCCTCAAGGAGTTCATATTTTATCCCTAAGCAATTGCTAACTTCTGCCCTGGGATTATAAGGAGGGTGGGAATGTTCTCTCACCATCCCCACCCCTGGAATTCCTCTTTAAAGCAGGCTACAATGTCAAGTTTCCCCTGGTGTCGGGCAGCATGTCACTGTGAAACCCTAAGACCTGCCTCCTGGGTTCCTTCCAGCGGATGGGCCCGGTGTGAAGGTGGGCTTTCTGGCCTCTGGCAGATGGAGGGCGGTATTAAATGCCAACACTATCAGTCTTACCATCCACAAGGCCGGGGGCTGCTAACAGCTGCCCCAGACCTATCAACAAGAAAACTTCATGGCTCCCAATGGGAATGGAGGCTGGGCCCCATGCTACTTAGATACAGAGGAAAGAACTTTCCCTCAAAGAGCTGGGGCAGGCTGCCAGAATCTAACTACATCCTCTCCCAGTTTGCAGTTCTAGGAAGTGGAAATTTGCTGCCCTAGGCATGGTCTAAAGGACAAGTTTAGAACTGATTCAACTCAAGTTCCCAAACAGAGCGAGTGCCAGTCGATGTCCCACTGGGGATCCTTCACTCCAGAGAGATTCTATTGATGGCTCGGTCACCGCCTTGGCTAGAGTCCCACCGCACGCCCATTTTGAGGGCCAATGGACAAGTCTGTCTGATTTTCAAACCAGCAGGTGTCACACTAGTAATCAATGAACCCGTAAGCCTCTTTGGTATATATAACAATGAAAAAATTCATTAAGCCATGAAATCTAGAAATAAGTCATATTTCTTAGTTGATAAAATGCTTTTCTGAACATACATTTTAGGTATCTGGCACAATTAACCAAATGTCTGCCCATGTTTGTGTAGCTTTTTTACAGTACAGATTTCATTGATGTCACCCCTGCATCTGAGTATTAAAAACATTTGACATTGTTATTCTCAGTCCTCACAACACCCCTGTGAGGTAGGTGGTATTGACCCCATTCCACAGATGGGGTGGTCTAGGCACGGAAAGGTTTAGTGGGTCCTCACAGGCTGCGCGGTGGGGTGACAGAGTGGTGCTCTGCACCCGCGCCGACACCGCCTTCACATTCACACTTCATCAGGCCACCGCAACACCGCGTGGCAGGATCTCACACTGAGGCCAAGTTCCTGTCTTGTCCAGAATGAAGCCAGCGTCTCACCTCTTAAAGCTTCGATGTGTGACTCAAGGCCAACTGCTCTCCCAAACTTGCAAAACAAACATATTGACTGAATCTTGGCTGGGACTATTTGCACTATTGAAGATTATTTTTGAGAGTCAATCTGCTTGGATTTGTCGTTGTATATGCTTAAACCCCTTTGGAAAACAGTTTGAAATGATATGAGGGGCAATGTAATTTTGAGAACAGAACACAGAAAACAAGAGTTCTGAGATTTACATTGAAATTGAGAATATAAGCTATGGTAAAATGAGAATCAAATCCCAAATAAATGGAGAGCAGCACTTCACGGTGTTTAACACCGTGCACAGAGCAGGCATTTGGTAAGCACTTCTTGGATCAAGAGAAACTGACACTCCTTTGAACCGCCTGTCACTAACAACAGGAGCCAGGACCCCCAGGAAAGCTGGCCAGGGCCATGGTCCCCTTGGCCTGGGGCCATAATCACACAAAGCCACTCGGCCAAATAGTGTGGAGGTATCTAGGCTTACTTGCTGCAGGATAAAAGTTGAGCTAGGAACACCAAGCCAGTCCCCTTGGAAGGTGTACTGCTACTTATAAAAAATAGATATGTAGCTACGATTAAATAGATGAAGGGCCAAAGCATCCTATGAGGAAGTATCTTTCAAATTGTCTAGATGTTCATGCAGTGGACAGAAATAAAGAGGTTAAAGCGGTTTGTTTTTCGGTTAAATGAAAGGCTGTAAATGCATTTTTAATACTGATAAGCAGGGTACCCGCTACCCCTTTCTGCTGTGGAAGTGTTGCTGAGGACAGAGTCCATCTCTCCCAGGGAGTCCTGGTTATCCTTTACTTACACTTTGGCCTCGGGGGCAGTGGCGTGTGGCCTGGGTTCTCCCCAGGTCACTCTGGAGGGCGCTGTGGAATATTGCTGTGATTTGCCTCTTACTGGTATTTCACCCACGTTCCACCTTGATTCAGCACAAGGACAGGCTGCTTCAGTGGGGCCTTGGGTCCTCAGGCCTTCTGACCGCTTGGTCTCAAGGGACATTCCAGAAGAGTGACTAGTGACATACAAAACGATTAAGAAAATCCATGTCGCAG